TAGAAAATATTCATCCAATATTTCTGTCTATATCGTTAGAGATCAAACCTAGTATGTGAATGCATAGGTGATTTTTGTACTTTAGGGAGTATAAAGTTTGTTCCAAATAAATAATTTTTGGTATAATTTGTGTTTTAGAAGGGTTACATGGTATGATTCTTGTAATCAACTTTGTATAATGGAAAATGAGAAAACAAGAAATATCCATTAATTATTTTGGCTTAATTGAATTAATTTTTTGGTGCTGGGGATTGAGCTCATAGCCTTAGTGCATGTGAGGCAGGTTCTTTACAACTGAGCTGTGTTCTGGGTTTGATGTTAAATGATATAATCATAATTAATGACACATTCTACATTATAATGTGATTTTTGGCTTAAAATCTGATTGTATTTCATTCTGTGTTAGCACAAATATCATATAAGGCAAAACATGGGAGAACGTGCGTATTTTTTAGAAAGAGAAGCAAGAAGTAAGTCACAGTTATCTTCAAAGAATGAATGTTCAGCTTTTGGTGTTGTTACTGTACCTTAGTTTTAAGAATATAAAACATAAAGAGTAAATGTCTCCCAGTAGCTACCTGTCCTGGCATTCTTGCTGCCAGTTCTCTACAGAAGCTTTGGTATTGTATTGGTCGAGGAAGTCTGGTCCAGGATCCTCCCATCCCAGCTCGGTGTCCCAGAGCAAGTTGCTTACCTTGTCTAAGCTTCTCTGTAAAGTGTGGCTAACAGTAAGGCTTAGCTTCTAAGATTGTCACAAGAATTGAATGAAGTCATTGTTTTATCTCTTTGAATAATGCCTGGCAGCTAACACATGTTCAGCAAATATTTACTAGAGTTAATATTTACATTAATATCAATTATATTTGATAACATTGTTAGTGTTATTTTTTGCTAAGGGAAAGTTTATGTATTTATTATCTGAAAAGGAAAATAATTTCTTCTGTTGGACTTTCTATTTCCTAATCTTATTGAGAATGGACCAGAAGGTGCTAGATTTTAAAAATTTCTTCGTAAAAAACCAAAAGTCATTAAATAGTCCCTGCAAAGACTTTAATCCTAAAATTCCAACCAGGAAAAGAACTCAACCCTCATTTACTAATGTAAACAGAGTAAAACGTAGCTGCTCTCATCTTTCCATGGATATGGTCTCTTCTTGGTACTGAAAGAGATAATGATCTTGCAGTATTATTTTATAAGGAGGTAACAAAATGAATTCTATTATCTCAGGTGTAAACATTAGGGTCTTATCCCACTGCTGTGTAGCACAGGCTGTAGCTGGGCTCACCCCTCAACGTCCTGGGTGGATTATGTTAGGTGAAAGAGAACATTGACTAATAAGTAAAGGTTTGACAACATAGGAGTCTACAGCTTGGTAGTCAAGATTGATACCAGCAATGCAATTGTTGAGTATTCAGCACAAAACATTATGAAGCACTCAGGTAAAGGTAGTGATGGATAGATCACTTATTTATTTTCCATGGTTAAGTGGTGAAGTCCTCAGAAATATGTGCACAAATCTGCTGATCCTTTGTGTCCACATAACTACCATGTGATCTTTATTCATAAAAATTCAGAAAGCTGTCAGGGTATGTTGGGTCCATCATGCTAATGACTGTGGATTTAGAATGATCCTTTCTACGTGTGGTGACTAAAGCAGACCGCTTGTCACAAAACATTAGTAAACTTTATGTTAAAGATTAAATTGATAGGGCTGAAGATTTAGCTCAATGCATAGTGCCTGCCTGGTAAGTGTGAGGTCCTGAGTTTAATTTCCAATACCCAAAAAATTAAATTGATAGATATTCCAGACCATAAAATAAAATTAATAATTATGAACCTCTATAATCAAGTTCTTAAGATTTTTAGAGCCAGTCAGATTGGCTTTATTTTATTTTATTTTGATACTAGGAATTGAACTCACGACCTTGCGCTTGTCAGGCAGATGCTATGCTACCAAGGTATGTCCCTGGCTCCAAATCTGCTTTAAAAGGTCAACCCAAGGTGGAGTATAACTCAGCTGTGGAGCTTAGCATGTTTGAGACTTGCTTAACATGCTTGAGACTGTAGGTTCAAACCCTAGCACTCTTCTACCTCAAATCAGTCTAGACACAAGTTCAGTGATCTTGGGCAGATTATTTTAACTAAGTCTTGCAGAATAATCATATCCACTAGGTAAGGTCTATTTTGAGTATTAAGCAAAATAATTGTGTTAAAATTATAATTATTCTGTAATAAATGCTTAATGATATGCAATAAGATGCTTTTATCATCAAGGCTTTTATCATTTTGTTTCTTTTCTACTTTTCCACAGGTTTCTCACAAGTTACAATGCTTTTTTTCTCTCTATCTGCAATAAGTATTTATTTTAGCTTCATCTAGTGACTCTGTACTGTTTATCCCAGTTACATTACAATGTGTAGGATTAGTCTTTGTGTACCTTGAAATTAAACATGCATTTTTAACATTAGTACTTTTTTCAAAAAGAAGGTCATTTGGAATAACTTTTCTTCACTATGCTGAGAAGATGGCAAAATTAAACATTAAATCTGTTTTATCAATAAAAAATACCTAAAATCTTTTTAAAATATTAACAAGTGCCAAAAACGATATGATGTAATTTTGACTTGCTTTTCCTTGTTTCCTTCCCTCTGACCTTTACATTACCTTTTATTTTAAATAAAGCCAAATGCTCATGGTTGGCATCTACTAAGTATTCTTTGTTGAATTAAGAGAAAAGGAAATACGTGTTTTATTTGTGATCAGAGATAGCAGTTCCTTAATGGAGGCCGAATAGACCTTAATTAAAATATCCACGTTAGAAAATATTCTGCTTTCCTGTTATTCAAATGCAGAACTACTTGTATTCATTTCTTGGACTAGAAGAAAGATTAAATAATTAAATTATAAAGGATGCTGAACAATTTTGTGGTGCTTTTTTTATCTATAATTAGCATTGTACTATGAGACCCTAGAAGTGAAATAGCTGAGTTTCTTTAATTGAGAGATGAGGAAACCAAGCTCCTGAGAGTTGAAATGGCTTTATCCTAGAGAGGCTGGGCTGCAGGAGAAACTTAGTTTTCCAGTTCTTTTCAGGAGCGTTAGCTCTTAAAGGGACTTGCTCGAGCATACTAACATGTCTCTGTAATCAAAGGACATGTGCAGGTCTCCAAAAATAGACATCAAGATAATGACTGTGGCTGAGAATAGTGGCTTTTGAGTCTAGGGAGCCTGGACTGAAATCTGTGCTCAACCACTTACTAGTTGTATGTCTTTGGGCAGATTGTCTGAAGTCTTGGTCAACTTATCTAATGTCTCTGTGCCTTAGTTTTCTTATCTGTGAAGATTGAAAGAGAAGCTCTTGTTATCTTCAAAATGGAAATAGCAAACCTTCATAGATTTGTTATTATCAGTGTAATGTACATAAATCATTGTCACCAACCAGATCCATACAGCAAACAGTATCCACTAACTAGTATTATAATGTAAATTAGAAATGGGAAGGAGGTTGAAGAGAAGAGATATGAGCAAAGGTAGTACCATATTTTATTAATAGCGTGCTATAAATTTGGCCTCAAACTTCTTTACAGTGAACATGGAAAAAGGAACACAGTAGATTACACGGCTTGCAGGTAGCTTAGATACATGCACTGTACCTGCGTGTGCGGCCAAAGCAGAACCGCTGTCCTTCACCTTCATCTTTGAATTTCCAAGCAAAGTCTTTCTACACAGCAGTTTATATGTTTTAGAGACTTGTAGGGCTGTAATAAAAACTGTCTGAGTCTTAGTACTCCCATGTGAGCATCCACATTCTTGATGGTACCTGTAGGAAAGAGCCTCACTTAGATGTGTTCCTCTCAGTCCACTTTCAGGAAGCCTAAGACTTGAATGAGGTGAAGGATGAACTCGCAATTCTCCGGCTTTTTCTCTCACACGTGTCAGAAACTCCTTAATTACAGGGACAACCTTTCTTCATCTTCACATTTTCATTCATTGCATCTCACACATGGATACCTAGTTAATACTTTTGATTTGCAGTAGTAAATGAACATATGCACAAGAGTTACTGGTATGAGAAACTTCATTTTGAACCTAGTCATACCGGAGAGATTACTTCTGCATCAAGCAGTGTAGACTTTTTATCCAGCTCAGGTGACAGTCCCTAAGGATTAAATCTAGTATTTTAAATGAAAAATGAAATCTATGTGAACTCTTCTTCCTTGGGTACTGGTGTGCAACGACTTGTGTTATTAAATGTCAGAATGAAATAGAACTGGTTTCCTTTCAAAAAAGGAGAAAAGTATAATTCTAATACCTTAAGTATCTTTTGGAACAGGTATATTAATCAAAGTCATGGCCAAAACCTCATATCTCAAAGACGTAAATGTCCTCTTTGCTACCGAGAAAATGTGATTTGCTATCATAAGAATGTTCCTAAATCTACCTTTGTAAATAAGTGAAATAGCTTAATTTTTCTTTAAGAAATAGTGAAAGTTGCTTATTTTATATAATGTTCTGTCTTTCCATCTATTTATTACAGTAAACAAGCAATTTCTTTTCTCTGAATTGGCATTCCCAACTCAGTCTCCCTTAAATCTATCCTAATTTATCTAAGTTCATAGAATTTGGTTCATAAAAATGTTGACATTTCTTCAGTGGGATGTTTCTTTTTCTTTCTTGTTTACAGCTAAATGTTTTAATTCAGGGCTGGGGATTTAGCTCAGTGGCATAAATGCCTGCTTTGCAAGTGCATGGTCGTGAGTTCGATCACCAGTACTGATTAAAAAAAAATGAAAAAAAAAATTACTTCATTTTAATTTATAAATTAAGGACTCTTTAAATGTTATGCAGGAAAATCAAATAAAATGTTGGGAATAAATGAGGCTCGCACGCAGCTGGGTGACTTGTTTTTAGATGTTATGTCTAAACTTAGATTCACATTGTGTGATAGGTTTACTTGATCAAATTATACACCCGTGTGTATTTCTTTTCTTTTTCTTCAGCCCCTCTGTTTTCACTACGTCCGAAGGTAACATGTCACTGAAAAACGAGTCAAGACTAAATACCTCTGCTCTGCAGAAGATCGCAGCCGACATGAGCAACTTGATAGAAAATCTGGACACACGGGAGCTCCATTTTGAAGGAGAGGAGGTGGACTATGACGTGTCCCCCAGTGACCCCAAGGCTCAAGAAGGTGAAGGCTGGTGAGAGGAGGGAGGAAGAACTTTTCACACTTGGTTGGCAGAGCACAATTTGAAAAACTAGCAAATGATTTGTGCTCCTCGCTGATACTGTAGCCCTGGGTTGAGATAGTGCTCAAGAAGCTTATTTGTTCTAACAATGATGACTTTTAAAAGGATGCCTGTAAAAGGCAAGGCATACGACTGCCACACATTGGAATAACCTTATTTACTTATTTACTTTTTAGTGTGTATCCCTTTCTCTGCTATATATAATACTCAAGGATTTAAGGAACCTAACATACAGACGTATCTCTCCGGATGTCCGATAAAAGCACAAGTTTTGGAAGTGGAGCGTTTCACGTCTACATCAAGGGTCAGAGCACTTATGGACTTGCCTTTTTTTTTGGTCAATATATATGAATTATTATCGTGGCTTCCATTTTCCTGCCTCCTGGTCAGAATCATGTTTGTAGACTTTGGTTTTTCTTGGTCACTCCCAAGTCCTCATCCTCTCTCAGGGTTTGCTTCCTTCTGGTTCAGTCTCTCTCTGTATACTCTTCTTTCCCCCTTGCTGGACAATGCTTTCTACATGACAGTTACGGCAACTTAATAATTCAGTATTTTGTCAGATGCCTCTGCTAGCTTTTCTCTCAAAATTTTGCACTCAGATGAATTTTTGAGGATTATCTGTTCTTATGAGAATGCTGAGTCAAAATCAGTGCTTGTTTAGCAAGAAAAAATGATGGTGCTATTTGGCTCTTAAAAGAAAAAAAATGCCAAGATATGGGACTGGCCAGTGCTATTACCCAAGAGCCCAACTGAGAATTTTCTGGGCGAGCTCTGCCTCTCTGATCATTTCCTGGGAACCCTTTAGTCCCCATGCACATAGACTTTCACTGAGCATGGGAAAGGCTCAGAGTAAATTTCTTCAACAGACAAAGCCCAGCCATTTGAAAGTGAACACTAGAGGTGGCTAGCTTGTGTTTGATCTGTGACTTACTGGGTTTTACAGCAAGTCTGGCAGGCAGGGAAAGGTGTCAGTGAGTGGTGGTCCTTGTCTGTCAGGTTAAGTGTAAGCAAAGGCAGGGGAAGGCTGCCTCTGGCTCCTGTTTCAGAGCAGGGAAAGCATCCTGTTCCTCTCTCCTTGTGCCCTGGAAGGTGACAGTGCTGGTTCTGCCTAGTGCTCTGTCCTAGCACCTGTGACGACTCTCACTTTATACTCACCTTGGTATCCAGCTTTTGCTTTATGCTTTTCCTAGGATCGGGACCTATGTCTGTCTGATAAACTACAGAGCATCTCTAAGATGACCTTTGCCTCTTATTTTGCTTGGCAGCTTTTAGGTTGAAAGGGAGTTGTAAGTGGGAGTTAAATGTATGCACTCTAGAGCTGGACTACATGTTTTAATTCCTGTGTTAGCTTTGTGAGCTGGAGCAAGCTACTTAAACTCTTCTCATTTTGCTCATCCAGGCAATGAGCATCATAGTGCTTGCCTTACATGCTTGTTATGAAGATATAGTAATAATAGGACATACATTACACAAGTGTATTCTGACTATTCAGCAGTGCAGCACCTTTCTTCATACACCTTTCCTGGGCACTGGCGTGGCCTCAGGGCAGTGGTGTGGTGTAGACCAGCCTAAGCCTTGGAACTTGTTCTAGAAGGATCAGAGAACGCATTCATGCCATTTGTGGAAGGCAAAAAGGGCTAACATTGTGCTTCTGGCTTCCATTTCCTCCTGCTTCTCTCCCATCTCTGTCAACTGCCTGTTCACTGCTTACACATGCAGGCTAGACTGCCCAATGCTAATTAGGGTCTTTGTTCATTGTCTGGGTTGCCTGGTTTCTGGTTTCCAGGGTTTGTGGATGTATGCATGTGAATACATGTACATGCATTGAAAGGGCACACATGTTGAAAGGGCAAGACCTATAAGAGTTTTGTCTTGTGTAATATATCAGATGAATAAGAGAATATAGCATTTGAGAGAATATTATTTTTGCAATCAGTTTTTGAAAAATATTTGCTTTAGTACTTACATGGAATATGTAGACTAAACTTAAATATATTTTCATGTTACTTATTAATTAGCTATAGTTCATTGAAATCTTTTGGATTGTTTATCCAAGATATTAACAGTTTTTATTTGTCACTATAGGTATCAAGTATCAATCTGTACACTATTGAATTAACACATGGGGAATTTAAATGGCAAGTTAAGAGGAAATTCAAGCACTTTCAAGAATTTCACAGAGAACTGCTGAAGTACAAAGCCTTTATCCGCATTCCCATTCCCACCAAAAGGTAACCTTTTTAGAATGAATGTAAAATTATTACAGTATTCAAGTTGGATGGAAAGTGAATTTTGTTCACTTTGTAGAATATCTAGTCAATTATTGCTATATATTTCAATTAAATAAGCTCTTTAAAACAATCAGCTATCTCTAAAAAGAAAGAAACTCTGGTAAATACTTGTAACCACTCCCCAGGATGATTGAAAACTGCATGAATTGCAAACATGTAGTAATAACATATAAAAAAAAAGTCATCTATTGTAAGATACAAGAGTTACAGTCAAAGAATAATCTAATGAGTGTTTGCATATTGTGTTTGTGTGTTTTAGACACACATTTAGAAGACAAAATGTCAAAGGAGAAGAGCCTCGAGAAATGCCCAGTTTGCCCAGTTCAAATGAAAACACAATTCAAGAAGAACAGTTCTTTGGAAGAAGAGTAAGTCTTTTCCACATTGTTGCTTTGAACATAGTTTGTAGCACTGTGGAAATATGCATCTAATGGCGTCTAATGGTGGGGAAAGGAGGGTATGACTCAGGTTCCATCACCACTGATTAGTGGTCCTGGCTGGTTAGATACGGCCTTCTTCCCCAGTCACTTCTCCGAACCATGAGGAGGGTGCGTGGTCCCAGGAGAGGAGGAGTGTTCATAGGAGTCATGTTACCCAGAGGCTGGTCTTTCAGCTTGATGCTCCTTGGGATGCTTTTGGTCAAAGGCTGAGCATACTGCGCGTGTGAAATCCATGCTCTTAAAAAGCCTTGTATTTCCAGGTATTTGCAGAATTTGTAGTAGCTTGTTTAAAATATAAGTAAAATCACAATCCTGTGCTACACTTAAGGTCTAAGAAGAGTTCTTGGATAGGAAACTCAAGACAAAAAGGAATACTTCTGCCTGCTCTGCCTCAGAGTGGTAGATGTGGAGTTTTTTTTAATTACGATGTTCATAAGCAATTCATTCATGTATATCACTGCTGTTTGATAATCTGAAATTTTATGTTCCAGAAGGAATATTTGATTTCTCTTTTGCAGTTTTTACTTTGTTTAAAATCATTATAGAGATCTGGACTAAATATTTTCCAAGACCCTGGATGTCTGAAATGACCAGTTTTGGCTTACATATGCATATATCTGAGTCCAACTAAAGACAATTGTGGCTGTTAACCTGTAGTGCTTCAGCAGAAAGATGCTGAATTTTATGGCATGGTCGATATGCTTGAAGTGTATTGTTCTACTGCCCAAGCCTTTATTCCCACTTCCCTGTCCAAAATAAACCCTTCTAACATACTTAGCGTCAGGGTAAATCTTACTAGGTAGTCTTCTTTTAACATCCTCCCTCCCTTTTTTTCCTTGAAGACTGTTTAAAAATTGTGATACGTATTGTAGTAAATTAAATATTAGAACTGAAAAAAATCAGGTTTTTGGTGAAATCTATAAATGCATTAAATTATCAACTATATACAAGTCTTGTTCTAATAGGTATCAACGATTAAAAACATATATAACGTAGGTATTCTCAGCAATGTGTAAAAGCCTAAGCATGTGGAAAGTGAAATAGCAAGAAGAAAGTGAAGTACTAATTCAGGAGAACAATAGAAATAATACCTTCATGCTATTTAGGATTCTCTTCCACTGATAATATTAGCAAACAATTGCAAAACTTGTCAAAGTTAAGATGAAATAATCTCATTATTGTCACTGTTTAAAATTTTCTGAAATATGACCATATTAACTCTTACCTAAAATTATTTGCATTATAGAAACAACTGGAAGATTACCTGACAAAGATACTAAAAATGCCTATGTATAGAAACTATCATGCCACAGTAAGTACTATCCAGTGATTTAAATTTTGAATTAATTTATAAAGTGGTGACTTGTGAGTTAAATTTCAGAATATTTTAACTTAAGGGATCCATGTATACCTTAATCCTTGGGTTAAAAAAGATTAATGAATGCAAAATTGATTGGATAGCAAGGATTCAATTTATGGTGATATTCTTTTAAAAAACATTGAATCTAAATTAATATCCCTGTAACAACAGATTTAAATCAACTTTAAATGCTACGATGAGCCAGATTATCTAGAAATCAACCCTTTTCTACCATCAGGCTTCTCTAATAATGTGAAAAAGCCTTTCTAGCTTTACAGAAAAAAACTTGGAGTAGCTAGTGATGAAAGCAGTTAAGCAGACTTGAATACCTCTAGATTGCACAGAGTAGACTGTCTGTCCTCTCATGTGAAAATGAGAAGCATGGGAAAAGCTAGGCAAAGGAAAAGACTCTTAAATCTAAGCAAACAGAGAAAGGTGTGGCTTAGGAAGGGTCCCAGATTTAGCTGCCTCCTACGGGAGGCAGGCGGCTGGCGAGCAGGAGGAAGAGGGCTTCCCAGTTTCAGTGCACAAGGAGCCTCATAGAGGCCCTTGCAGTGTGTGCGCATGTGTGCAAGTGTGTGTGTGTGTGTGTGTGTGTGTGTGTGTGTGTGTGTGTGTTAGGGCAGTGATTCAGAAGACTGGCTTTCAGGCTGGATACTTGAGACTGTCTGGATTATTGGATTCATTAACTTCATACGTATAAACTTGCTGTGGAATTGTACATATATATCTGATGCTGATGCAAAATTGAAGAACAGGTGCAAGGTGACTTGGCCATTAGTTTAGAGAACAAGAAAGCAGGCAGTGCCCCAGCTCCCACAGCTGCTTGCACTGTGGTGTTGTGCGTAGCTCTATGGCGCCATCATCCTAGAGAAGCATTTTCTCAGGAAAGCCAGCAATTTGGGTTCCACCAGTGAATCTCAAGAGAAGCAAGATGGAAGGAATCTTGTCTTTTTCCAGGACTCAGAAACATGTGCTGTTGAACATGAGTAAAGACTGCTTTTTGTGTTCTCTGACATCAGACAAGCTGCTCTCTTTAATGGAGAATTGTTTAAATGGGCATTAATAACCACATTTTATAATCTCTCATTTCTTTTGTTTTTCTGCCTGCCTGTGACATTTTGTACTATTTCTTCAAGCTTTAGGACAATATTTGGTGAGTTCAGTCTTCTCTTTCCATGTACATCATTACCCTTTAGCTTCTTCTATAAAGAATGTTTACATTTTTAAACATTCATTTTAATTACTTTTCCAGCCATAAAAATATATTCAGCATTAAAGCCATATCGTGTTTAGAAATCCCACGGTACCTTATAATCATTTCTCTTGGAGGAGAAAACTTAGTTAGCAACTTAGTGAATATATTAATCCCCCCCCACACACACACACACCTTGTCTGGTGGTTACTGAAACCATCCTTTCAACATTTGAATTCTCTAAAACAATTCAAGCATATGATGCAACTTGGTGCACATTCATTCTCATGCTGTTTTCCTTTTACATCAAATTTTATGTGGCTACAGGCTTCAACATCTTGTTTGCTGAAATTTAGTTTGCACCCACTGTATTTCCTTCAATAATTGTGAGGAATTTAAAAAAACCCAGCTGCAAAAAGCATAGTAACATTTAGTTTTACATACATGCATATTATAAGTTTCTATGTTAGGAGCAGAACACAAACTTATTGGAAGTTAACTCAGATCCTTTAACTGGTGAAGTCATGGGTTAGTGGGGAACATATCCTTAGTTTTATGATGGTCAGGGTCTGTATTTGTTGGTAAATGGTTCAGGTGATTTTTATCATCAGGAGATTTTGAGAACTAAATTAAAATGCTATAATCAGAAGCAAGATAGAACATGTGTAGATACAGATTTCCTAGGATGAATGTTATCATTATGTATGTCTAAAATATACCAATAAAAAAAGGCCATGGTTAGCCTAGAAACATCTTGGTGAAGTTGGGCTACTTCAAAAAGTAGAGAAAGATTTATTATTATGTAATAGGAATTACCCAGAAGAATTCTATCTGTGCTTCCAAGCACTGGCTCTTTTGTTTTCTTTCTTTTTTAAAATTAACTTTATTGGTACATTTTAGATACACGTATTAATAACATTCATGGTAGGAGATTTGTACCTGTACATGATATATCTTGATTCTTCTTGTCTTCCCAATCCCCTCCCCTCCTTTCAATCTCTTTTTGCTACCTTATTTGTAAGAGCTGTATTTCCAATTTTTTATTCTCTTTTTTCCCTTTGTTTTCCTAAATACCTTTTGAAATTAGTCCTAGACAGTCCTATCTTCTTTTATATAGTGGATGATTGGGTTTGCATTCAGACAAGTATCCTTTCTTCCAGGATTATGAAAACTGGCTTTGTGTTATTTCCTTTTTTCTTCCTTGTACTTCTAACAAGCACTCCAGTTATTAATTGAGTCAGTATCAGACAGTTCCCTTACAAATTACTGATAATTTATTAACTTTTCTTGCTTACTTGTAAAATGGGCATACATATATTTCACTTTTTCTCTAGGGATAAATACGTTTTTAAAATGTGTTGTCTAACTGAGTTGCACAATAAAAAACATAGTTTCTCCAACAGCAATTCCTTCTGTGTTCTGAAATTATATGAGTACTAGTTGTACTACAGAACCTACTAAGCCTTTCAACTAGTAACTGGAAAATGCTTATCTTCCAGGAAATTAAAAGCAAGAGGAACAAAGAACATAAATGTACTTTTTTAAGATTAAAATCTAGACATTGAACAAAATACACAATATCGAGACAAAGCCCTAAAATAACAATACCACATCTTAATTCTAACTTGAATCAAATCATTTAAATCCTATCTCCAAGACAGCAATTAACCTGAAATTTTGGATGAAACATCCCACTGGTCAATAACATTGAGCTCACCCTTCCTTCATTTTGTGAGATGAGTAACTTTAATCTGAGAGAAAGAGTAGGTACAAAATAAAGCTGCACGTAGACTTTCCATTTCCATTCCAACAGAGCAGGCTGTGTGAGTTGAACAGCTGCATTTGTGAGTTAAGGAACATGTTGTCTTTCTCATTATTGAGATGCAGAGTTTGGAGGGACCGTAGGCCTTGGTCCGACCTGCCATTTCCTCTGTACTTAGATGTCTTTTCTGTCCCCTGCAGCCTTGATAACTGCTGTACCTGGAAGGCAGCCCTTCCCCCAGGGCCCCACTCTTGGCTTCCCTGTGTGCCGTAGTTTCCCACTTGGTCTCTCCCTTGAATTTTTGCTACCTGAATGAAAGGGGTTTCGGAAACCACTTTTCTCTTATAATACAACGATGAGTTGAAAGGACCCTGCAGATACACTTGCCGAATAATTTCTAGGGCTTGTCATTAACCCTAGAATTTGGTGCTTGTCTCTTCCCATAGGAACTCTTTATTTGCTTCCCTGTTTTCCTAACTTTCTTGTGTATCCAGTTAATTCACACTGGAGATTTCTACCTGAGCCCACTTTCCATCTAGTGACAAAAATATCATTTAAGTGCATTTTTCACACCTTCCTTTATCAAAATAAAAAGATACTTGATTAGTACTTTATTCCACCGTATGTAATATTGTTAGATTAAATTGATCTTTAAATTTCTATTTCTGAAAATCACTTGCTCAGGAGAATGAAATTCTCATCACTGAAGATGCCCTGAGAAGATTAGACACTATAATCTCAATAAAGTTTACATTTTGCTAATTAAGTTTGCTCTCAGTTGACCTTGACACATTTGGTTTGAATTTTATAAATCTATGTTAGTATGTTTATTGCCAGAGTTTCTCCCCACCTCTATAATAGTGCTGGTTCCTCTTTTAAATCTCTCTTTAGTCAAACTTTACTAAGCCATTAAAATGAATTTTATATTAATATGTAAAATAATTTTGTACATTACTAATACAAACGTTTTATTTACATGGAATTCTTTACACAATTACATTATATTCTAAAGTTATAATTACTGAATTATTTCAGGGAACATTTGTATGTGCATGTCAATTATTTGACATGAACTATATGAATAAAGTAGGTTTTAGCTGTTTTTTCTTGATTTTTGTTTTCAGTTCTTATTCTTCCCTACAATGGTTTGGACTGAATAAATTAGATCTCTTTAGTACTTTTCTTCTATTGTAAAGCAAGACTGACATTATCTGTCTGCTTTCTAAAAATAAAATGAGAACTACGGCTTAGGTTTTAAAACATTTAGATTCTGTGGTTGACAACCTGAATGTCACTTCTAATAACCTATGGTTATTACATTTCCAATTAGAAAGTACTTCCACAAATCAGATAACAAAAATGCATGCTGTTGTATCACAATGTTTTTATATAAGAAATGAGATTTAAAGGCCTGACTTTTAAAATCTCTATTTTAAAAAGTGCTGTGGGGAGAACATTTAAGTTGGGATTTTAAAAAGTTATTTAAATCCTTTTGAATGTTAAATGCTTGCTTTCTGCAAATGACCCCAAGAAAAGAAAGAAATGCAGACATTAAATTGAACTTCACAAGAATTGACAGCTGTTGAAATTCTTACTTTTTTCTTAGAAGGTTAATATTATGTATTTTGAATCACACACAGAATTTTCAAGGAAAACTGTTTTATTTTGTTAATCCCACTCAGGAGTAGATCAAGTGCCTCTTGATCACACCAGCCAGCGCTGTGGGCCCCTCCCCTCCTCTGTAACTTTATAACTACTTCCCGGGTACCTGGTACAGGTCTTCCCACGGGACTTTGTACTGTGCCTAAATTCCCTTCTGTCTGCTTCCGGATGTGGGGAGGTTATCTTTTATCTTTCTGTTTTTTTTCTGTTGAGACAATTATTGGTGTGTTCTAAGGCCCACTGACAGATTTACTGTTGGCTTCTTAAAAAAAAAAAAAAACAACAGTAGATAAGGAACATTTTTAAGTCTAATTCTAGTTCTTTCAAGAAATACAGGAGGCAAACCCCCTGTATATTAAGCATCACTTAGTATTTAAATTTTTTAGTGTATCTGCAATACTCAATGAATGTATTCATTGTGCAGTATTGGTGTGTACACATATTGCATCTTGATCCTTTTTCATTTCCCTTCCTCTCCTTTCCCCCACACCCACCTCCTCAGATTTCCAGTTTATCACCCTTTTTCCTGCCACCTTTCATTTTTCAATTTGCATTATATAGACTTCGGCTTTCTCATATAAGAATTCTTACACAATATTTAACCTTCTGTGTAATTTCTTTCACTTATCATTATGGACTCGATTCATCTATTTTCCGATGTGTGTCATATTTTCTTTATTCATTCATTTGTGATGGGCATGTAGGGTGCTCATCCTCGATAAGTTTTTTACTCTGTACCTCCACATTTTCATCTAATCCCTATCCCAATAGGATATGTAAGGAACTCAATTTGAGTAAGAGGAATGTTGATAATATTTGTGTTTTGCTGCTTAAATGTACAGATACTGACTTCGATCTGACTTGATACCAGTTTTATGCCTTGCTAATTATGAAGTCTTGGAAATTTTAACTTCTTTAAACTAGGGGTCGGCTAGTAATAGCCCATGGAACAAATCAAACTCATTGCCTATTTTTATATGTTCTGTAAGCTAAGAATAATTTGTATATTTTTAATTGTTTAAAAAAATTGAGAATATTTTGTTACACATGAGAATTATATTTATAAAAAAGTTTTTCCCCCAGCCGCACATATTCGTTTATGTGTTATCTATAGCTGCTTCCATACTACAGTGGCGAAGTTAAGGGTTTACAGCAGAGATTGTGGCTCACTAAGCACAAAATATTTACTTTGGCTCTTTGCAAAAGAAACAAATTTGCAAATCCCTGCTATAAACCTCAGTTTTTTCTTCTGTAGCTACTGCAAACAGATTTAACATAATGTATGAAGATGCTTAACACGGAACCAAACGTCATAAACCCTTAGTAAATGTTAGCCATGGTAGTTTTTATTGTAGTTGTTATAATTTTTAATCGCCTTGTACTTTCTTCAGTGAGGTGGGCCTCAAACTCTCTTCCTTTTCAACCAATTAAAACACTTTTCCTGTGAGTGCCTGGCGTTCCCCAATCCCTTTGTAACCTGCCGGGCCGTACGGTTTTCCCTTCCCTTTCTTTGTCTGATTTCCTACAGCCCGACCTTACCTCTGTCGCCTTCTGAAGCAGTCTGCTCTTCCCTGTCCCCTTGTCTCCCATTTCCACATGCTTAAGGCCACTCTGTCTTCTAGAACTTGGCACCAATATCACTCTCTCACGCATCTTTTTATTATTTTGTGTAGCCTGTGCCATACAACCCTCTTCTCCAGCAGTAGAAAAGAACACAAAGCAATGTTGGAGTAAACTCACCATCCATGACCTGCTTAGTATTTCGTGTCTACATCCCAGTACATAGTACTTTCCTGATTGTGTTTTAATTGTATACTTCTAATCAGTACAGTCTCAGTGCAGTATGATTTTTGATCTGTATATAGTGCACAAATTTATTTTTCTTTTTATCTTCTTTCTGTCTAAAATTTTTCTTGTTTACTTCTTTTCAGACAGAGTTCCTTGATATAAGCCAGTTATCTTTCATCCGTGATTTGGGACCAAAGGGCCTGTAAGTTCCAGTGTTGGATCTTTGTAGAGAGATGTAAAAGGTTGATGAGCGTTAACATTGATGTAGCAGTATGCCGTGGTAACGGAGCACCCCTGGCTTCACCGCTAGCTTTTCTTTCCACTTTACTAGAGGTGATCTGCCGACAAAGCAAAGCCTCTCCTGCAGTGAACAGTGGTAGCAGCTATTCTGCTGTCTTTCTCCTGTCCTGACAGCACAGATTTCTTCTACCCCGTCGGTGGGCGTGTTCAATACTCACAGCAAGTGTTTTATGGGAAAATGCACAAAAATTTAAATATTTAAAACCTTTTCTTCTAATCACTTGTGAAAATGAGCCATTTATCACTCATTTGGCTGTTTTAAAATACTGTGTAAGAGAAATGTATAAGTAGATGAAAATTTATTCAGTGATTAGATTCCTTCACAGTATTGCTTTAGTGCTTGATTAAATAAAAGGCTTAACCTTTTAATTTTAGTTCTTTAGGAGCATTGTTTCTAAAGTGCTTTGTTTTAGATGTTGATATTGTTCTTTTTTGATGGATCTTTCAGAGTCAAGGGATGCACTGTCAAACAGAGTAGCTTTGTTTTTCTGCTTTTGATGTGGCTCGGTTGCCAGAGCTGTGCATGGAGGGATATAGAAGTGTGCTGGATCTCATGGAGCTCCTCTCTCCAGTCTCAGCAGCAGCTGGGCCACCAAAATGCATGGGATTGTCATAGTTACTGGCTGGAGGGAACACTTAGCATTTAGAGCCAAGAACACTTAGCATTTAGAGCCTACATTGGGCACAATTCGTTTACACAACCTCTTACCTTAAAAGGGCTGTATGTGAGCTACAGGCCTCTGAGCTGCTAGAGTGCCCAGGATAACAAGTAGGACATTAAGCAGTTCATGGTGGAGGAGAAAAAGTGGAGATGAAGGTCACGTGAGAAGGAGGTGGTTTATTTGTTCCATGTGGTAAGATTGAACAAGCTAAGTGTGAATTTGAACATGATGAGTTAATTTGGTGTCTCTTTCAGAGAAGGTATGATTATGAAAAGATCCGGAGGACACAGAATACCAGGTCTGAATTGCTGTGGTCAGGGAAGAGCCTGCTACAGGTGGTCAAAAAGGTAGGATTTAGGAATTTTGTGTGTTTTAATAAAGTAAGTGTGTGGGAAAATATTTACATAGTTGCTTCAAATAATTCTTTGAAAGCCATGGGAGAACATATTTTCAAACCCAAGTCCAGCATTGATTTAACTATACTATTCAAAACTGGACTGGGTGGCAGAGTATATAGATTATGCATGTGAAAGCCCAGTGCAAGGGGCAGGAATGTGGCTCCGTGGTGGAGCAGGTGCACAGCATATGCAATGTGCTGCACTCAATACTCAACACCAAAACCAAAACCAAACCCACAACGTCATTACATAAAACTCAGAAGTTGACTGGCCAAACAGGTACAAATGGCTAATAAGCCTATGAAAGTGTTTATTATCACTAGTCACTAGGAAAATATGAATCAAACCCATAATAAAATCATTTCACACCCTCCAGAATGGCTGTAAGAAAAAGACAGAGAATAACAAAAATTGGCAAAAATGTAGAGAAAGTAGAGCCTTTATACATTGCTGATGGACATGTAAATGTTACAGCCACTTTGCAAACAAAATCCTTACAGTGATAAACATGGGGTTGTCATATGCCCCAGCAATTTGACTCCTAGGTATTCACCTAAAGATGAAAAAAAAAAAGACTCCAAAACTTGTCCATAGCAGTATTATGCTCTTTTCTTTATTTAAGAGAAAAAAGGCACAAAAAGAAATACAAAAAGCAAAAGAGACAGACAACAACAAACCCAATACAATAACAATAACAACACAATAACAATATAGGTTTACAAAATAAGATGATAGAAATTTAACAATGGTTGTAATATTGCATGTTACCTTCAAAAGGATTGCTTAAAATAACCGATATAGACATGTAAAATTGATTTAATCGTATGAATACTAACTGTTCTTGTTCAATAGCTAATACAGTTGGTAGTATAGTCATTTTAGCTGTCTTTTACATGCACATAACACACACAAATTTATGTCTTTTTCTTTTCCCTTCCTTCCTTCCTCTTTTTCCCTCTCTCAGTTACTTTTCCTCTTTGAGCAGTTTCTTACTCTTACAGTATTTATTATAGATTTTGGACAGTATATATTTTTTCAGTTTCTTAACACTAGGGAGAAAATACAGTATTTACACATGTGAGTTTGATTTATTTCACTTAGGAATATGTTCTCAAGTCACACCCATTTACTTATAAGTCCCAATGCAGTCTTCCTTTATAGCTGAGTAGAACTCCATTGTATAAAAATACCACATCTTTTTTTATCCATTCCTTGATTGATGGGTACTTGGGTTGTTTCCATGATCTGGCTATTACAAATTGTCCTGATATAAACATAGATGCACATATATCACTGTGTGGTATGATGTTTTCACTTCTTCGAGGAAGATTCCCAGAAGTGGGATTTCATGAGACTGAGGTAAAGCCCATCTATTCTGATTTTCTGTGGGGTTTTTATCATGAATGAATGTTGGATTTTGTTGGAAGCTTTTTCTGCATCTATTGAGACAATTATATGATTCTTGTCCTTGGCTCTGTTGATGTGGTGTATTACATTTATTGATTTGCATATGCTGAACCACAGCTGGATTTCTGAGATGACTCCCACTTGATCATGGTGTATAATCTTCTTAATAACTTGTTGGATTCTATTTGCTAGTATTTTGTTGAGGATTTTTGCATCTGAGTTCATTAGAGAGATTGGCCTGAAGTTCTGTTTTTTGGTGGAGTCTTTCTCTGGTTTTGGTATTAGAGTAATACTTGCTTCCAGGAATGAGTTAGAGAGACTTGCTTCTCTTTCTATTTCATTGAAGAGTTTGAGGAGTGTTGGCACTAAGTCTTACCCAAATTTCTTGTAGAATTCAGCAGTGAATCTGTCAGGACCTGGGCTTTTCTTTGTTGGTAAGATTCTAATTACATTTTCAATTTCATTAACTGAAATTGGGTTATTCAACCATTTTACATCTTCTTGATTCAGCTTTCATAATTCATACGTTTCTAGAAATCTGTCCATTTCTTCTGCGTTATTGAACCTATGAGAGTAAAGGTTTTCAAAGTAGATATTGATGATCTGTATTTCCACAGGGTCTGTAGTGATTTCACCCTTTTCATTTCTTATTGCATGAATTTGAATTTTTTTTTCTTCTTTTTGATAATGTTGGCTAGGGGTTTTTCAGTTTATTCTTTCAAAGAACTAACTCTTTGATTCATTAATTCTTGTATTGTTTTCTTGGTTTTAATTGCATTTGTTTCTGCTCTGCTCTTTATAATTTTCTCCTTTCTTTTGGCTTTGGACTTGACTTGCTCTTCTTTTTCTAGATGTTTGAGGTGCAGCATTAGGTTGTTTATTTGTGTTCATTATATTTTCCTCATGTGGGAGTTCAGTGCTATAAATTTCCCTCTCAGGACCGCTTTTATTGTGTCCCACAGGTTCTAGTAATTTGTATTTGCATTTTTGTTTGATTGTAGATACTGTTTAATTTCTTCCTTAATTTCTTCGGGGACCTATTGATTGTTTAGGAGAGTGTTATTTAATTACTTTATGTTTTTATGGTTCTTCTGGGGTTTTTGGTCTTTAATTTCCAATTTTATTGCACTGTGATCAGATAATATGCATGGAATTATTTCAGTTCCTTTGCATTTACTTAAGTATGTCTTGTGGGCTCAAATATGATCTATTTTAGAGAATGACCCATGTGAAGCTGAGAAGAATGTTTTTGGGTGGAACACTCAGTACACATCTACTAGGTCCATTTTGTTCACAAATTTGATTCAGTTCTATTATTTCTTTGCTGATTTTTTGTTTGGTTGATCTGTCTCTTTTGTGACAGTGGGGTGTTAAGGTCCCCTGTTACAAATCTATTATTGTTTACTTGATTTTTCATGTTTATTAATATTTGTCTTATATAGTTGGATGTGGAAGAATCATATTTCTCCATCAATTTTCAAATTTAGTTTTGCAGGGTAGATCAATCTGGGTTGAAAGTTTTTTTCTTTCAGGACCTAAAATACTTCACTCCAAGCTCTTCTTGACTTGAAGGTTTGAGAAGTCTACTGTGATTCTGCTAGGCTTTCCTTCGTAGGTGATCTGTTTCTTTTCTGTGACAGCTGTTACTATTCTGTTCTGGTGCTGAATTTCTGATATCCTAATTATTATATGTCTGAGTGAAGATTTATTTTGATAATGGTTAATTGAGATTTTGTATGCCTCAGCAGTCCATATGTCAGACTTTCTTCCCATGTTTGGAAAAATTTTCTGCTATTATTTCTGTAAATAGTCTTCATATGTCTTTTGTGTTGACCTTGCTTTTTCATTTACACCTATCAATCTTACATTGTTTCTCTCTGTATCATCTTGCAGCTGTTGAATTGTTGTTTCCTGGTTCCTTGTTATTTTTAAGAGATCTTTTCTTTTGTGATTGTAAGCTTCCATCCTGTCTTTAAGGTCTGACAGTTGATCTTCAGCTTCATTCAGGCAATTTTGCCAGCTTTCAATGGAATTTTTAATTTCCTGAATATCCCATTGAATCTGTTTCATGCATTCTAAGTCTGTCTTGTTCAGTCAAGGTTTCCATCATTTTCTTATGTTCCTCTATTTTTTTATGTATATCTTTAGATACACACATCATTTCTTTCAATGTTTGTCATTTCATTTTTCACCTGATCTGATTTCCTCTGTACCCTCCTGGAGTTGTTTCTTTACTTCAGCTGCTATTTCAGAAAGTTCAGTTGTGTGTTTTCCAGTGTCTTTCATATCAGCATCTCTTGGTTTTGCTCTTGGTGGGCTGGAGGACTGAGACTGCATCTTGCTCTTTTGTTTTGTCATTTTCTTTTAGGACCCATGTGGCTGGTCAGGCACCATCTCGATGAATTGTACTGGAATGCTGCTCTGGGCAAAGGTTCAGTCCTCTGAAATCCCCGTGGCTAGCCAGGGCACACTCCTGACCTATGGTGCTGGAGACTTTTGCTCTGTGGCCTGTGTGCTGGCTGGGTGTTTCTCTGATATACTGCACTGGGTTGTTCTGGGTGCTGCTGTTATAACGTGGATGGCAACACATCCTTGAGGGTTTCCTACTGGTGCGTCCTGGCACCACCACCCTAGCAAGCTTCTTTCTAAGCTGCGTTATACACTTATACCCTGGTTTTAGAACTAATACCTGTGGTGTCCCCGCCTAAGGTGGTTACTTAAGGGATAGAATCCTTGGTTTGTTTCCTTCAGTCATTTATGAACTGTCATCCACCAGCCTGTGTTCTGCTAGCCTCTGTGAAAAGTCCCTGCTCTCAGGAAGCACTGTATGAGAGAAATGAAAGTAGTAACAAGTGACCAGGTAGCGGTAGTGATTTAAGTTCAGCTAGTGAAAAGCTGTGGTACAGTGTGTAGTGAAAGGGAATGGTACAGTGAGAGATTTGGGCCCTGAGACAAGAGACTGTAGCTGGAGGAGTCTTGGAAAGATCCCTGAGGGCTGGGGATTTAGCTCAGCGGCATAAGCGCCTGCCTTGCAAGCAGGCAGTCATGAGTTCGATCCCTGGTACTGACAAAAAAAAAAAAAGAAAAGCTCCCTGAAAAACTGGCTTTTGAGATGTGACCTCCACAGAAGCGAAGCCAGGAAAGATGGGGACAGAGTTTGTTACATAACCAAAAAGCACCCCGCCTTTAAACTTTGGATTAATTCATGTTTCAACCAGGATATCTAAAAAGGTATTCCCTGGAATGAAATGTGTCCTTTTAAATTGTGCAAATCTTACTGTGAAGATTAAAGTCTGTTGCCATGTTAATATTTTCTGAGTCAAACCGAGTGACTTATTAAGTATCAGACATCATATACAGCTGATCAAATAAGGCTGACAAAATTCATATGCAGTTTCTCACAGTAGAAATCTATTGATTGGTGTGTGAGTGGGAGTCACTTTTAAGATAACATTCATTTACAACTCTTTTTCTTAGGTTACCATAAAAAGCATTCTGTTTTCTTTCTTGTTTATCCTGTATTGACAAGTTGATATAAGGCATACAGGACAGTTAAATTTTAAATCATGTCTCTTACTGACCTTATTGTAGGGGCAAGTAAAAAGAACAGAACAGAAAAGAAAGGACAACACAGGAAGCATTTCTTTCAAAATGTAAAGCATCTGCTTACGGAGCACATTTATTGAGCAAAATCTGGTAGTAAGACTATATGTTAAGTTTCTCGTCTCAAATAATGTCTTAAGAGAAAGAGCTGTGGAGATGCTATGGAGTAAATTTACCACTTACCTTGCTGGACTTGGCTCTATTCCAAGAATTGAGATTTGTAGACAGTAAAAGTATTTAAATGGTTTCATTCATGTTCTGGAGATGCCTTCATATAAGAAGCAGTTAGATAGTTGCTTTGCGTGAATACTTGCCCTGGGCTGCTGGAAGATTATTCCAGGCTCTGGGCAGACAGGGTGGGTGTTCTCAGAGTCCTTGTTCTCAAGTATCTTACTTCCTGAGAGACAGATCAGTAGGCAAAAATGAATACTTCCGGGTGCGTTGCCCATAGGGGGTTCTGGAAACAACATTTTCTGGACAGAAGAAGAGCATCTGTATAGAAGCTCAAAAACGAAAACGAACATAGCAAGACTCCCCTCATATTTGTCATGCGTGACGCACAGTTAGTCCAGAACGGTGAGAAAGACCGGTGGGAGATGAGGCTGAGAAGGAGAAGAAGAACTAGAGCTCAGATAGGCTAATCCGAGGGCGGGTGCTTCATCTTTTTCCTCATGCATATCCTCCTGTTGAAGAAAAGCAAATCTATTGATAGGGTGGGGATGAGGAATCAGGAATTTTAAGGAATGGTACTATTAAGAAGAGATTTTAGTAGAGGTATTTTCTCCTGATAGCTAATGACTATTATGAATTCTCCATCATCAGCAAACAAAAACCATTCAGTTTTGCATCATTTCCAAACTCCAGATGATGGTGCTAGGCAGTTCTGTATTTTTGGACTGTCACACCGTGAAGGAGCAAGTGGGGAACTATTCACCTAGGATACCATGTGAACAGCCTGTGTAGAGTTGAACGATGACCTGGTCCTGTAACATGCAGAGATACCTCGTTATTGTTGAACAAGACTGCAGTCTGCAAGAGTCTCTGAGGTTCAGACAAAAGTGCCCCATTCCTGTAGCAGGGTACAGTCTTCTCCAGAGCTTCTTGAGCAAGACTCTTGTGCAGGACATACCTGCTCAATGATGCATAGTGGCTTCTAGATAAAGACATGAGCAGCCCTTGGCCCTGGTAATTATGCCATAAATGTGTGTGCTCTTTGGAGAGTTTCTCAGGTTTATTTTCTATTGCAGTGATAAGGGGTTGGTACATCTAGAAAAGACACATTCCATTTTCATCCCACGCTGCTTATCTCTTTGGTGTGGAGCTCTAGCCAGGGCTGACTCTGATGTCATTCATATATCCTTGATATACAGGCAGGCAAAGTCACGAGTCCAGGACATTCGGCATTTCAGATTGTCAGCTTTGCCAGCTGTGGTTTTCAAAGCCTGTTGTCCCTGCCTGATCATCACATTAGCACATTAGTGCCTGATAACTGGACCATTGCCATGCTGTTTGTTCTCTAGAACAACACAAAACCACAGGAAAGAAGAAACTTTGACAGATATGTGATCTACCTGTTATCTTTTAACCTTAACCCAAGTTTTTCTCAACAGGCAGGTATGTGTCTGAGTTAATAACTAACTCAGTCTCATCAGAATCATAAGTTACTCTTTGATACTGTGGCCTTGATATTTACAGAGTGTTATCAGATTTCTTACAAAATGTATAATATCTGAATTCACTAAAAATCATTACTGAGATTATGATTCATTATATTTTTTAGTTGCTTTATATTAGGTCTCCAAGAAGAAACTTGCTTTGGAATTGGCTTTTGGCGAGACCTCTTTGTTTCTTTTATTTATTAATTTGAGAAGAAAAACCAGGAAGCTCAGGCCCACTTTGGTGTGTCATCTCTCTAATTACATTAACCTTTGTGGTTACTTACTGTGCTCTGTGCCCTTGATGTCTTTTCGTCTATTAACCGTATCACATGTGTTTTCTTTTCTGTGAATTATCTACCACACCTCTTACTGTTGGGCAGGATCCAGCTTATCCTTTAAAAGACAGATGAGTGAAACAGAACTGTGGAGAAATCAATGTAGATTTATCCACATTGGCTCCAGATTGTAAAGCCACTAACGCATAATGTGGTTAGCATTTCAGTAAGTATTTTTCACAGATTTCTTTTAAATGCTGAGATCCCATGCTACACGCACACATTACTTAGTTCATACACAGGCTGAGCTTATCAGTGCTACTTAGGTGGGATAACCTGTGTGCTTTGTTTGAAATGTGATGTTATCCTCATTATTACTTTATTGAGTTTTTGACTGATTCATCTGGTCATCATATAGTTACAGAAAAATGTGTATACATGGTACTCAGCAGTGTAGTGGTTGTATTTATATGAGGTGTAATAAAAATATAGTGTGTGTTTAAATTTAAGATTTTTATTACAATGAAAGCTACATTGCCATTGGTGCTGCTCAAAATACATGTTATATTGCAGCATAATTGTTATATTTGTTGTTGTAGCTTCTTTAAATGGAGTCTATCTCGTCTCTCCTGTTCTTCCATTGTGGGTCATCTAAATCCTTCCTACTCAGAATGGGGTCTAGCATGACAATCACCTATGAGTCTGCTAAAAATGTACACTAAAGTTCTTCCCCACTGAATGGGAATTTGCATTTTATCAGGATCTTTGGGGAGCTGTATATGCACATTAATCTGTAAAAAGATCTCATCTGTATTGCAGATAATATCTGTATTGTCTGTGTTGCTAACCTTCTACACTTAGCACTTTTTCTGTTTGTAATTTTTTTCTAAAACATAGGTCCAAGCATTTTACTATCCTGTTGCCTTGTTGGTCATCGTGTTGTCCTCCTGTAATTGCAGCACTAGGGCAGCTGAGGCAGAAGGATTGTTGTGAGTTCAAGGATTGGGGCAGCCTGAGCTACATAGTGATATTCTGTCTCAAAACACAATAACCTTGATGTTTTTGTTAAAAAACACACTCATAGGCCTTTGGAATGAATCTCAGATGAGGCCCAGGGATTTGTTTTGTTTTGTTTTTAGCCAGTATTGCCAGAGATTTTCTGCTCCTTGGGCAAATTTAGGAAACACTGGTTCCATGATGCAGAATCAGCCTCCCTTGGCTTCAAAGCCACATCAGTGTGGCTTTTCCCACTTTTCCAATTCCTTCCCCTCAGCATCCTCCCTGTGGCTCAGCGCTCTAAACAGTTCTCCCCACACCGGCAGCATTTCCACACCTGGCACCTTTGCTGTCTTTTCCTCGCTGTTGGAAGTGCATCTGGTCCTCCCATATTCTGGGCTCTCCATGTGGGGACCCATCCTGGCCTCCTGGCGACACCACATCTTCAGGACAGCTCCACGGCCTCATGCTCTAAGCTAGGACTAAGGACTTTCTCTTCTTTGTACTTTTTAATTTTTGCTTCTCTTTTAGTACTTTCCCCATTTAGCCTCGAATTATCTTTGTTTGTACCCTTGTTAGTCCGGCAGGCTACTCTGATAGCATGCTTCCATGTCTGATTTATCTTTGCTATTTCTTCCTGTACCCTAACTCTCAGGTTGTTACTGTAATTTTCCATGATGAAGCTCTTAAATATACTTTGCATTGAATGGAAATAATTTTAAGATATATTCCTGTCCCACTGAGCATCATTTATTAAAGGTCTGTAGACTACAGATCATTTGAAATACGTAACAGAATATGTGGAACATTGGATTTTTAAAGGGCAATTTTGCCTGCTGATAGACTCATTTGCCTGTTTCATTATAGTTTGTGTTAGCAAACATCAGTTTATTCTGTCACTCCAACAGCTGGATGCCCTTTCTATATCCTTCAGTGCCACTTGACAACATCAAGGACATTCTTCTAGGTTTTGCCTTTCAATGTTTAAAAAGCCATTGAATTAATTTCTTGGTGCTAATAATTAGAAAACATAATAGAGTTTGTGTTCTTTTCTGTTTTGTTTTGGTTGAAAAAAATTCCATGAAAAATATAAATGTGTCTACAGTCTGCTACAATGTTTACTTAATATTTGTCATAATAACCTATTCTTTGGATTTCAAAAGTTCTTATTACCTTTTTACAGGTGGTTAATAGTGAAAGATTCCTTTTTATTATACATGAAACCAGACAGCGGTGCTATTGCCTTCGTTCTGCTGGTGGATAAAGAATTTAAAATTAAGGTGGGGAAAAAAGAGACAGAAACGAAATATGGACTTCGAATTGATAATCTTTCAAGGTAAATATAATCTTTCAAGTTGCAAATATTTAAAAAATATTTCTACCAAAATCTCTTAAAACTCAGATTTTTCTCTCAACTCTAAGTGACAAAGAAGTAAAATTATTTAAATATTAGAAAATTGTTATTTGGAGTTTATCTTCTGAAGTCATTACTTTCTGTTGTATAAATTTCTAAGAAGAGTATCCTTTATATAACAGAATAAGAACAAATGATCCAAAGTGTGGATGTATGCCTATTTTAATAGCATTTTATTACTCAGTTTACTGTTAGAGCGATATTTTACATCTAAAAAATATAAATCTTTATAAATCAATCTCCTTAATAAAAGACCTAAAATGTGATTTGATTTATAAAAATTCTCTTATTTATATATAAAAATTTAAAGAAAGATATTGTGAAGAAATACTCAAATGTACATTTGTTATAGATTTTATTAGTGAGTATATGTGTTGATATGTATGTTTCTCGAGAATTATAATTATACTGTGTGTATATATGTATATATAAACACATGTGTGTATATATCCATACACATTTATCCCTGCATAGTTCACCCATGTGACAGTGTAAACAGGTGTTGAGCTTCCTGTTGTTGTCAGAAAACGAAATGCTCAAGGTTGTTGGAAATGCCACCACACTGCCATTCAACCTTCTTGCTAGCACTGTTTTCCGTAGCGTCAGAGACGCCAGGCCACAGATCTCCCGGTCCCTGTAACAGTGACTGTATCAGCCTCCCTGTGTCCCTAGGAGCCCTCATGTGCTGTGCACCACTGCCAAATAAATCCATTCAAATGCAGGTTTCACTAAAGCCTCTTTCCTGGCATACGTGCTGCTCGCCATCAAGAAGCCCACATGCTCCATCTGTAATTGAAGGACCCTTTTCTCTTTGCCTTGTGCCCCATGAGCAGTGAAGACTGTTCTCTTTACTCTCCCTTCTCACACATCTTGTCCCAGCTCTTCGTCTTTGTGCTTCCTATGTTGAATGACTCCTACCGCACAGGCATGCAGTCTGACAAGGCCCATGCGTGTCACTTATATCTCCTGCTGACACTGCCTGGCCTCTTTATGTCTATCACTTATCTCCCCACAGATCTTCTCCTACCTGTTTTCCAGAGGCATTTAAGCTTAGATTCAGGAGTATTTTTTTCTTTCTTTTGGTACCAGGAATCGAACTCAGAACCTCGTGTTTGCCAAGTGGGTACTGTATTGCCGAGCTATATTCTTGGCCCAGATTCAGTAGTTTTGCATAACAAGTGAAACCCAAACATTCTGTGCCCTTTTGCTGTTGGCCCGAGAAGCTCGTCTCGTTTGCCACACCCAGAAGATCCTTGTCTTCTCCCGTTCCTCTCCCGCTGTGTCTCACCTCATGTCTCTACACCTGAGCAGCATCAACATCTCGAGTTCAGCACCTATCTTCAATGCATAGAGGCAGAAGTTTGGGCTTCCCTAATCTTTAGAAATAATTGTTTCAGAGTCTGTGACCACCGCCCCTTTCTTGCTTCTCATGAGGATTGTTCCATAGCCTCCCAAACAGAACTGTCCTCCTCACTCACTTGAGTTGATGTGGGGATACATTTTGGCCTAAATGCTGGTTCCAACACCTTGTTCTCCTTTCAATCTCAGAATACCTCTTCGTGGTAATCACCAGTTAGGAGACTTGAGATATATATATATATATATATATATATATATATATATATTTTTTTTTTTTTTTTTTTTTCTGTACTCTGTCCTGAATTTTTTCTAGCATTTAGAAATCTCTAACAATTTAAGGTAGTGTAGTCAAAGAGACAGAAAGGTTGAGTGCAAACTGGGTTATACCAGAATTAACCAACTATTGGAGCCTAGTTGTGAGGCTCAAACTCTATCATGAAGACACATTTCCTGCCTTTTCTTAGTTCTGTCATCTATGGATCTGCTCCATCTGTCGACTGGTCTCAGAGTTTCTAGTTGGCAGCCTCTCACCTTTCAAATTCAGGAGAAGGAATCTCTTCCTGGTACTTCTGAGTTCAGTCCTCAAATTTGCTCTCGGGGTAGAATTGGCTCACACACTCATGCAAGAATCAACTGCTGGACCTGTGAGTTAGCTCAGCGGCACAAACACCTACCTGCTGGTAAGCACGAGGTCATGAGTTTGATCTCTAGTACCAGCAAAATAAAACAAAACATCAACTGCTGGGATCAGGGGAATGAAATATTCCACTTTTCTTGCCTTTGGTAGACTGAGAAAAGCAGAGGGATGACTCTCCTAACATAGTCAAGACAATATATTTGCAGAAGCCAAGGGAGTTTGCAGCAGGAAGCACCAAGGGAAACTTCCTCTCAGGGACTCAACAGCTCTGTGACACTTAGGTCTTCCACCTCTTTCAGGAGCTTCCTCCTAGCATAGCACAATTCTGAGAGCATAGTAAGTACTTTTATATGTGTTTGCATGAGTAAAAGAGTGGAAAAGTAGCCTAAAGATTTCTTTTTTATATATTGAATTTTCAGAAATTCTACCAAAATTTTTAGCAGCCTATATTTATGTTCTTTACCTAAAATTTTCAATATATGTTTGTTATAGCAATAAATGAAATACAGAATACTTGATTAGTAAATTTGTTCCAAGAGAAAGGATACAGAATGAGTGGTTTTTCCTTTTGCTTTTTTTTGAAAGGACACTTATTTTAAAATGCAACAGCTACAGACATGCTCGGTGGTGGGGAGGAGCTATAGAAGAATTCATCCAGAAACATGGCACCAACTTCCTCAAGGATCATCGATTTGGGTCATATGCTGCTATCCAGGACAATACTTTAGCTAAATGGTAAGATGTTTTTGCTCAAGGTATTCACAGCATTTAATATTGTAATGCTCTCAGTTCACCTGGGATCAACTTTCAAAGCTGTAAAAAGAGAATATGCATCATATTGAGCACAGTTCTGCCTTTCGAAGGCCCCTGCTGGATTACCTGATTAGTGGATTAGTTTTCCAACATGGTTTTTCACAATGAGCTTAGCTGCCTTTGGACCTGCAAGTTTAATTTTTTCAGGCTAACTACATACATTTCCTTAGTGATTCTAATCACTAGCCCTAATTTACAAAAAAACATGGATTTGGTAGAATTTATTTTAAATAAAAGTTATGTGTTCTTCTTCCCATAATTGGAATTTGGTCTGATTTTCGGCTCAGGTGAAAAACCATGTGTGAGTTTAACATGACAGGAGATATGGCCTCGAGTGATGATACAGGTCAGTGAATTGATTGTACTCTAGGCAGAGAAGAATCAGGTCATTTGGATCTGTCTACTTCCTACCCTTTCTAGGTGGAAGGTTATATTTTAATCTTTGTTTTCCATTTATGCAGAGTTAAACTAGTGGTGGGATACAGACTTTGGGCAGGGCCGTGCATATTTTGCTTTACTATAGGATAGATTTATTTATTGTTCTCTTATTTTATGAAACAAAAGCAAAGCAAAAAAGAGAACAAAATACTTTGTCTTTCAGGTATGTTAATGCCAAAGGATATTTTGAAGATGTGGCAAATGCAATGGAAGAGGCAAAAGAAGAGATTTTTATTACCGATTGGTGGTTAGTATTTATCCGTGAGACTGTAGTCCAGAGGTCTCTGTGTTTATGAATGTACAACGGTGTAATACTGTGCAGAAACTGGCTGTTTGAAACCCAGCAATACCCAGGGATGATCTGGCCAGTGTATCAACCAATTAACTATTGCTCACTAACAAAAACTTAGCCTCCAAATATATTCTGTTTTTTAGTTTATATAAATGTATTGCCACAATTTAGGTGTACATAATGATCAAATTCATTGTAGGGAATTTGTATCTGTACATGATATATCTTGATTCCTCTTTTTTTTCCATTCCTGTTCCCTTCTTTCAAACCCCCTTCCTTTCCTTGTTCACAAAGCTGTTTTCATTTTATCCTTCTTTTCTCATTTTTTCCCCTTCCCTTCCTTCCTTTCCCTGTCCCCCCCTTCCCTTGATCTCTTTTCCTTTTGGGCAGTTTCTTTCTGTGTCATAATACCTATTGTATGTTTCTGTTCTTATTTATGTTTTCAGTTTCTTACACCAGAGAGAGAATGTGATATTTATATATGTGTATCTTATTTATTTCACTTATGATTATGGTCACAAGGTCCATCCATTTAGCTATCACTGTCTCAATTTTATCATTCTTTATAGCTGAGTAATGCTCCATTTTATTTATTAAAAAAACCTCACACGTCTTTTTTATCCATTCATCGATTGAAGGCCATTTGAGTTGCTTCCAAAATTTAGCGATTACAGACTGTGCCACTGTATACATGAGTGTCCATATGTTACTGTGGTAGGTAATTCTTACAGTCAGATATCCAGAAGAGAAATAGGTAGGTACCTCTAGATCTAGTTTTTGAGGAATCTCTGCACTGATTTCCAGTGTTTGCACCAGCTTACATTCTTCCCTGCAGTGAAGAAGGGTTCTTTTTTCCTCATAGCCCCATCAGCATTTGTTATTGGTTGTTTTCTTTCTTTCTTTCTTTCTTTTTTTTTTTTTTTTTTGATCTTTTTCCTTTTTATCGGTTCCAGGGATCGAACCCACCACTGCCTGCTTGCAAGGCAGGTGCTTATGCCGCTGAGCTAAATCCCCAGCCCCATTGGTTGTTTTCTTGATAATGGCTATTCTTTGTGTAGTGAGATGGAATCCTATGTTTTGATTTACATTTCTTTTCATATATTTATTTGCCATTTTGCTTTTTTCATCTGAGAAGTGTCTGTACATCTCATGCTTATTTTTGGATTGGGTCTTTGAATTTGAAGGGTTTGATTTTTTTTCTTCATATGTTCTAGATATTTATCCTTTGTCTAAAGAACAGCTGGCATAAATCTTTCCCCACTCTGTGGGTATCTTCTCGCTTTGTTGATTTCTTTTGCTGTGGAAAAGTTTTTCTTAATAAGATGAGATCCCTGTTGTTGATTCTTTATGATAATTCCTGTTAACTGAGGTTTTGTTTGTGAAATCTTTGTCTAGACCTGTGTCTTCCAGAGTTCTTCCTATTTGATCTTCCAGCAGATTTAGTGTTTCTGTTTTAATATTTAGATTTTTGATCTATTTTGATTTTAGCTTAATTCATCATAATAGACATGAGTCTAGTTTTAGTCTTTGGGATGTGGAAAGTCAGTTTCTCCGGCACCATTTATTAAAAGGGCTGTCCTTCTAGCAAAAGTGTTTGGCCCCTTTGTCTAAGATCAGGAGGCTGAGTACATTTGGAGGTGTTTCTGCATCTCATCTGTTCCATTGATCATCAAGTCTGTTTTTTGCCAGTACCATGCTATTGTTATCACAATAGTTCTATAGTGTAATTTCAAATCAAGGATTATGGTGCCCCTGATTTGCCTTAGTTGCCCAGAATTGCTTTTGCTACTCTGGGTCTCTTTTGGTTCCAAATGAATTTTAGGAATGTTTTCTTTAGTTCTGTGAGGTATGCCAATGTTATTTTGAATGAGATTGCATTAAGTCTGTATAGCAATTTTGGGAGTGTGGCCATTTTCAGTATATTGTTTCTTCTTACCCAGCAGCAAGGACAGGTCTTGATGGATACACAGGTACGTTCTACAAGAAAATTAGAGAGGATCAAATGCCATTATTCCTCAAACTCTTTAATGAAATGGAAAGGGAAGTAGTACTTCCAAAATGATTCCTGGAAGAAAGTATTACCCTGATATCCCACCTAGTGAAGGGTCCAAATAAAAAACAGAACTATAGGCCAATCTCCCTAATAAACATAGCTATAAAAATCCTCAAAAAGATATTGGCAAACACCATGCAGCAAATCATGAAGAATCTCCATGTATTTTTTTTGTTTCCTTTTCTTTAAATAAAAAAAAAAGAAAAAGAAAATTATACACAGTGACCAACTAGAATTCATCCCAGGTGTACAGGGATGGTTTTGACATACACAAATTGATTAATGTGATACACTATCAACAGAGCCAAAGACAAAAGTCATATGATCATCTCAATATATGCAGAAAAAACATTTGACAAAATCCAACACCCATTTGTGATAAAAAAAAACCCTAAAGAAAATCAGAATAGACTGTCTTTATTTCAATCTAATAAAAGCCATCAGTCAGACCAACAAACCAACAGCCAGAATTACACTAAATGGTCAAAAACTGAAAGCTTTAATTGTAAAATCAGGAACAAGACAAGGAGGTCCACTGTCACTACGCCTATTCAATATAGTTCTGGAAACATTAGTCAGAGCAATCAGACATGAGAAAGAAATACAAACGATAGAGATAGAAAAAGAAGTAAAATCATCATTATTTGTAGATGACATAATATTCTCAAAAGTTCCATGAAAAGAGTTCTAGATTTAATAACCAGTTTCAATAATGTAGCTGGATACAGCATAAACACTGAAAAACCAATAGCATTCCTGTACACAAATAAAAAACTCACCAAGAAAGAAATTAGGGAAACAACACCCTTCACAATGCCATAAAAAAAAAAAAAAAAAAAGGAATATTTAGGAATCTGTCTAACAAAGAAAGTAGAAAGGTCTCTTATGTTGAAAGCTAAAACAGTCTCCAAAAAGATTGAGAAGAGAACAGAAAATGGAAAGAAATATATCTTAATATATTTAGCATGATAATTAGGTTTTTGCCTTTCCATTTGGTAGTAAACACTCAAGTATTAATTTTGGTGAAGACTGTGCCCTAGTGTGATTGTAGAGGTAATGGCCCCTTGAATATCTTTCCTTAACTTGGCATGGCTGTCAGTAAGTCCAGTAAACATGCCTTTTCTGAATTGTCTCTTTGCTGTTGAATTAGGTTCATTTGCTTGTTACTATTAAAATGTCCTCTGGCCTGGCCAGCTCTTCTGGAAACATATATCAGTTTTCAGCTTTCTGACCATCTTACAAAATGTCCGTGAGAGTAATAATGCTTATGAAGGCCATTGGAAATCTCATATCTAAAATTCATGAACTCTCAGGTAATTTTACTCCTGGATTAGGTATAGGCTTTGTAATCTGACTCCAGCCTGTCTATCCATGCTATTAAAAATCATTACAGATGCCAGCATTTGCTATGGTGGAAATGAAAATGTTTGAAATATGTTTCCCTCCTAGGAACCTAGTTTACCAAAATGAGCTTTTCAAAAAATTTTCTGCTTTGTTTCCTTTTACATGTTACCTTGCATAGGAAGTGTAAAACTATCTTCACAATTTATTTCCATTTTAGTCTAGATTTTTGGGAGCAGTGGAGGACAATAGGAGTGTGAACCCATCTTCTACTGTTTTTTGTGGCAATTTGTACTTCTATATTCTGCCCTCCTAATATTGGCGTTATTCATATTTTGGGTCAGCTAATTTTTTGTTGCAAATGGCTGTCCTGCATGCTGTAGGAATTTGACCAGTTTCCTGCTTCTGCCCCCTAAATCCCAGTAGCAAGCTCTCAGTTATAGCAACCAAAATGTCCTTAGACATTGCCAAATATCTCTTAGGTCAGCGAAAGAGCCGGAGGGACTGTGTGTGTGTGTGTGCGCGCGTGTGCGTGTGCCTGTGCGCATGTGCGTGTGCCTGTGCGTGTGTGTGTGTGTGTGTGTGTGTGTGTGGGTGGGGGGATCTCTCTTTTGATAGAGAATCATCCATCTAATCAACAGATACAGCATGCAGTAGTCATTATGCTCGTGTTTGCAGCAGGCTGAATCCTGGTCTACATCCTTGTTTTGTATTTTAAATAAGTTGCCAAAAAGGAAAAGTATCTCACATTTAGAAGTCTTCCTTTAGTTGAGTATTAGGAGAATGAATTCAAGTTTAATATAGCACTTTAGTTAAAAATATTTCTGAAAGTTTGGCAAACACATAAGAGAGAAGAAATAGTTTTTCCACTGAGTGCGTATTTTCCTTTTTTCCTCTTCTCCTCCCTACTCTTCTCCCTCGTTTCTCTCCTTCTGCCCTTTCTTCATGCTGGGATCTAACCTCAGACCTATTAACAAACACCCTACCACTGAGCTGTATGCCAAGCCCTCACAGTCTCATGCTTTGTGCATGAAAACAGTATCTTGTCTGAATACTAAACTATAGACTCTTAGTGAAACAGCTGAAGAGATGGAACACCGAGTCTTTTCTGCTTTGAGCAAGAGAACGAATTAGGGCGGTGTTTCTTTGACACAGCTGAACTAAGATAACATCTTATTACAACATGCACTTTGAGTAAAACCTACACAGTAACTTCCTTCATGAAAAGTGAAGGAAGTTCTTGTTATTTTCCGTCATTATTCCAAAAAGTATGCAGTCGTATTTCATTGTGGTTTTCATTTTTATCAGCAACTTCTCATTGTGATGAGCAGATTTTCAATGTGCTTTTTGGACATTTAAAAACTTTTTTTGAAAATATGTGTTCAAATTTTTTTTCCTTTTTTATGATCCTGTACATTGAACCTATAATTTCTCTCTCTCTCTCTCTCTTTTTGAATTGGGTTGTTTATCTTCTTAGTTGTAGAAGATCTTTATAAACTCTTGTTAAAATAGTTATTCAGTTTCATTCTGACCTCTGTGGCTTCTAGGAGAAATGTTCAGT